TAAGTGCCAGGTGTTATATTAGTTGCTAAAGAAGTAAAGATAAAGATGAAACAAACCTTGCCTACCAAAAACTTACATCCTCTCCGGAGTATCTACCCCACAGGGTCATTGTGAGGATTAAATGAGGTAAAGAATATAAATAGTACTTTGCAAATCTTTTTTTTTTTTTTTGGTGAGGCAATCAGGGTTAAGTGACTTGCCCAAGGTCACACAGCTAGTACGTGTCAAGTGTTTGGTCTGAGGCCGAATTTGAACTCAGGTCTTCCTGACTTCCGGGCCGGTGCTCTATCCTCTGCGCTACTTTGCAAATCTCGAAGCACTATATGAATACTAGTTATTGTTACAGTTATAGTGGTTAAATCATCCACATCTTCCTCATTACTGTTATTGTGTTGCTATTTAAATACAAAGTCCTTGAGTACAAGATTTATTTTGTGTCTCAATCTCTGCACCCACAGCAGGTGGCACAGTAGGAGCTTAATATGCATTTGATTATTGTCATTTCATTCTTTTCATCTCTATGTTGGAGTTAAGAAAGAACGGTCTTGAGACAAGTCACTATCCTATTATAATTCTTTCCTGTTGGGAGGACAGCTGTGTAGCCAGATAAAATAATTGATTTTTTTAAGTGAATAGAAAGGTCAAGATGTGCAAGTCCATTTTCTATAGACTCATGGAAATTACTTCTGTAATTAGTATAAAAGATTATCAAAGTCTCTGGTAAGGATTCATAAGCAAAAACCAACAGCATCTTCCCCTTTCTAACAGCTATGCCTAGCTAAGAAACTAATGTCAACAGAAAATGAAGCATTTGAGTCTGGTAGGTGACATCCGTTGCCAGTAACCATTAACTTCTCCCTGTGGACAGTCATCCATTGGATTTTACCACCTCTTCTGAACATATACATGACATTTTCCCCTTCAAGTCTTTGAACTCACTTTTATTAAGGGTATTTTGAAATCACCACGAAAATGAAAGTGCTTTTCTTCTGTCTGTAAGCTGAAAATCAGAGGAATGTTTATTTTATCCCTGACTAGAGAAAGCAGATTCCTCTCCACAATCTAGTATCCCCTTAATCCCAAGTATTAAGGTTTATTTCTCTTTATTCACAATTCCCAACCCAAGTTCCCTTATGCCTTGCATTTCTACCTTAGTGAGAAGTCAATTAAACCTGCCACCTACAGTGAAAAGGTATTTAAACCAAACTCCTTTGACTCCTGAATTCACAAGCATAAATATTTTATTTTTTTCCATCAAAACAAAAATGGTCCCCAAAGAAAAAGGAATGTCATAGGCTTGCAACAAAGTGAAAACAGATAGAATTGTTTCAATAACTTGAAAAAAATACACCTGTTCTTGCCAGATCTTTTATATGAAGGGAGTGCATAATAAGTAAGATGTTGAAATCTTCAGTAGTGTATAAGCACTGTTTCTCACTTATTTTATTCATGGAGATAAGTCAAAGTAAAGCAGTTGAGTTTTCTTCATCTATTTAAACATTTAACTAATAAAAAAGAAAAAAAAAACACACCCCTTGTATATAATATATTATAATCCTAGACCTCAGGTGACCATGTTCTACCATAAAACCTGAAACTCATTTTAGGAAATCAACCTGAATCTAATGGGGAGAAGTAATAGCAGGAACAGCGCAGTGGCAAACCCAAACAGGAAAAGATGGTGGAGCTTTCAGGTCTAATGCTGATTGACTACAAACCAACGCTAAGTGAAATGAATGATAATCATTCCCCTTCTTAATGTGACAGAGTTAAAAAGGATATCTTGTATTTACTAGGATATTTCTCTCCCCATATGTTTTCCCCAACACATTTTGGTAGGCAGTTTTTTTTGGGGGGGGAGGTAAGAGGAAATCAAGAAAATGTTTAATATTCTTCCTCTCACCCCCTTTCCTTCTCACTGCAATTAGCATTCATGGTATAGATCACATACCCACAATCTCAGAGTTGGAAGGAATTCTAGAAGTCATTTAGTGTGACTCCCCTCCCTCCTCATTTTACAGAGGAGGAAACTGAGGCCCAAAGAAAGTACATGACTTCTTCAAGGTCAAATAGCTAATTAATGGAAGACCCACTCCTCCATTCTTTTCATTTTCTTCTCTGGTGTTGTGGCAGAAGCTCTGGAATTGGAGTCAGAGGTCCTGAGTTCAAATTCTTCCTCAGCTCTGTGTGCTTTCGACTTTACATTCTCTGACAATCTGGGCAAGTCATTTCCCTTTTCTGGGGCTCACTTTCCTCGTCGATGAAATGGGGGAGTAGGACTAGATGATCTCTAAGGCACATTCCACTCTAAATGTTCTAATTCCATGATCTTCTCTGAAAAACCCACACAGCCTCATAGAAAGCAGCTTCCTTCTAAGTAATAAGACATTCCTGAAAGAAGGGAGCAATGGATAAGAACCAAACTCTGATTAATTTTGCCTCTAACTGCTGCGTAACCCTGGGCGAGTTATGATTCTTTAGTAAATAGGGGTGAACATTTCCCAGATTAATGAAGGATACTTGAGAATTGGATAGACCAGAACCCAGGCAACTCAAAACACAGGACTCGTTATTTTAGAGTGGAAGATATCAGGGGAAACAAAGGAAGAACAGTGGCATATATTCATATTTCATGATATAGCTCTGAGAAATTACAAATACTGAATGGTGTCTTCACTAACACCAGCAAAAGCTGGGCCAAGCAAGATCAAAGAGTATGAGATTTAAAGGACATTTAGAATATATGACAAATATAACCCTGTAAGAGGTTTGGCAGGTTTCCCTGGCACTCAATCAGCATCATATCTGAGGATCCTGCTCTCCCAAAATATGTCACGACTCCTAGGCATAGAGTATCTAAGAGGTCCATGAAAGGCTGCATCATATTACCAGAGAAGAACTGGGCAGGAGAGGCAGTATGAAGGATATTGTAATAGGGAAATATGTACAAAAAAAAAGTGGGCACCTCATAGAGAGACAAAGAAAGATTCCCTAATGAAGTCTCCACTGGAGATCTATGGAAGAAGATCTGAGGAAAAACTCATGGCCAGGGTGGACCCCATGCGAAGGATTTGTAATAGTATGTGGACAGACATTAAACAGGATAAGAAGGAGTGGATGGGCTGTGATCTAGACCACCAACACACAAAATCAATGAATTTACACGAAAAGTAAATGAGACTCTACAATGTGATTTCTATCATCCAGAAGGAAGGAGCTCACTCTTTGGAAGTGAGTGTCAGGCTGTTTGGAATCCATGCCATATAATTCTTCCTGGGCCCTCAATAGCCTAAAATGGAATCAAATTCCTGTCACTCTCTCCTCTCTTTCCCCCCCAACATAGAAAAGATGATGGTCTTCCTCTGTCATGAAATTAACAAAGAGCTTTTATTTCTCTAAAAATATGACCAAGGAAGCTAGGGAGAGCAGTGGATAGAGCACTGGGCTTGGAATCAGGAAGATTTAACTTCACGAGGTCAAATCTGGCCTCAGACACTTACTAACTGCGTGACCTTGGGCAAGTCGCTTAACCCTGTTTGCCTTAATTTCTTCATCCATAAAATGAGGCAGAGAAGGAAATGGCAAACCACTCCAGTATCTTTGCCAAGAAAACCCTAAAAGGGGTCATGAAGAACTGGACATGATTGAAAAATGATTCAACAACATCCAAAATATCATCAGTCATCTAACTTCATTCCCCCCAATACAGTTTTACAACACTCTCCCAAACAATTTTCTTTTTTCAAAAGTAAGTTGAACAAGTCTCTTACATCATTGTTACTATTCTTAGCTATTGTTCTGAAAGCTTCTACTTCTAATCCCCAAGCAGTTTAAATAGGGCACAGCCCAGAAATCCCATTTGGGCGTGCCTCACTTCTAAAATAATATTGATCTTAGAGGGGAGAATGTAGTCTCTTTGTTTCTTTTTTTCTGAGTGAAAGACAAGGAAATAGCCAGGATAGAAGTTTCATAAACATCTCATTTAGCAATAACCACATCAGCCAGATTTATAGCATCTTGATCAATATAAAGTAATGAGGAAGCCTCTTTAAGGCTAATTTCTAAGTACAAATCACAGACATAGATTACAGATGAGCATTTATATTGCAATATGGAATTTTGTACATTGTCACACTCTCCTCCCTTTCTCCCTACTTAGTCAGGTTGATAGAAGGAAATGCGCATCTAGGGAGTGAGTATAAAATGCATGGGCACATCTTTACTTAGCAATACATCTGACAAAATAAAAAAAAACCTGGAGATTTTTTTTTTTGCCAACTCCCTAAATCCCATTGCAATGGTTCCTACCAAAGTCAGAGGAAGTAAAGGGTTTGTCAGTAACAGGTAGATGGAAAGAAAACAGTCCTACCAATGAGAATCTCAGTGACATGAATCCAGAAACAGAATTTATTCCTACTAAAATCTTTTCTTTTCAGAATAGAGTCAGAAATATCTCCCTTTTTTTTCTTTTCCATCTATAGGAATATTTAATTTTTTTTAACTTTCTTGCTCTTCTGTGTAAACTAGTAGAAATACAAAAATAAAATTGACTCAGAAACAATCATATAACATTTTGCCACCATTTTGACACCTAACTCTTAAAACATACACTAAGTCTGTCCTGAAACCAGCAATTAAAAAACTGAAGGCATCATAAGAAAACCATCGATTTTCCAGCCCGGTGGAGAAATTTAAAGCCTAAGTTACATAGACAACTTGTAGAAGCACCTGTTTATTTATACATCTGATAAGTGAAACGGTCAGTAGAAAATTTCCCTCGAAGGTCACAGTTGCTAAGCAACTACTTTCAAAAGTTCTGCAACATCGCTCAACCATGTTCCTGGTTCCAATGACTGATTTCAGAATAAATATGAATAACATCCTACCTGGTTTCCTCCAAGGAAAAAAAATTCCTCTCACCATTCTTTGGAAGACCACGGGAGGCCACTCTTGGGTTCTTTGGGTCTGTCAGCTTTGGGGGACTTTTCAAAAAAGGATACGTCCTGGGACCACTGGTTTCCTGTTCACGAGAGCAAAGGACAATTCCGTCCTCAAAAACACCACAGAAGGCTTGATGAGATGCTGCCCAAATATGAAAGACATCCTTCCTTATAGCTCAAGTCTGGTGGAGAAGGAAAGGAAGAGAACAATTCATATGGTTTGACTGTGGAATTGATGAAAAACAAACACACATCCAAACAATCTGAGGGAAAGAAATCCAAGAGAGATTATTATTTTATCGAATAGCCCGTCCTAGTGGGATCCTGTTTAATAGCCACAGAGACAGAGGGAGAAAGCTATCCTAAAGCATTCCACTTTTGCTGATAGGTTGCCTCTCCTTGTCTTTTAAAGCATAATATCTCAGCAAGATTACCTCAAAAGCAAAAAGGATCTCCAGAATCACAAACTGCTCTTTTCCTGAAATCACTGGGAATTTGTTGATTAATTTTCATTTGGCCTCCCTCATCCCATTCCTTCTACCATCTTGGCACCTCTGTGAGAAGTTGCATCTACTACCACTACTGCCAGAAACCTCTTTTAGTTTCTAAACCTTCTTACCCATGATTTTATCTTTGTTTGTATCACACTCACTTAGAAAAGCACCACCAGGACCTGACCTTGTTCAGGATTCCATAAACACATCAACATACACACATACAACATATACTCACATAGACACACACATCTTTCTTGTGGAGCAAAGGAACAGTTTTCTCAGATCAAAAAAGAAAAGAGATAAGCAAAATAATGAGGGTTCAAGATAAAAATGAATGACTTAGTCAAAGAAACAGCAGCAGGATTCAGAATGATGTTGATCTGTTCCCTTTCACAGGAAAACAATGGAAAAGCTTTAGAGCAAGACTGATTGAAGATTGATGGTGAACAAAGCCGATCCAGAACAGAAACCACAGGGAACGGGTTTTCATTTAGCTGGATTTCTCTCCATGACAAAGGTTCTTCTGGAACAACCAAGGTTCATGCCCTTGAGGTCTTGGCCTTATTGAAACTTGGAAGCAACACTGGGCAAAAAAAGAAATGGTGGTAGGAAGACAGAAACAGGAGAAGACAGAGAGAAGAGGACTAGCTATCAAATGCACCCACTGTCAGGAGTGTGGTCTTTTTGTGATGTGTGGTACCACCAAAGGTACCAAGTGGTTTTAGGAACACAGTATGCAAATTAGGGTCCTTCACATTTCAGACGGCCAGGGCAGCAAGGTCATCAGAAGAGAAGAGAAATGAAGGGGAGAGCCCATAGAGAACAGAGACTGGTGGACCAAAAATGCTTCTTCCTTCTTGAGCTCATGTGCTTATCAAGCATGGTCACGCTACGTGGAGTCCTATTTATCGCACGGGTATGGAACAGTCCCTGCCCGATGATGGCTTCTACTTTACCATAGACAAAGAGATACATCTTTTTAAAGGCAAAGACCTGCAGGGAGAGGAGATCCTAACAAATGAGAGAATTTGAACAGAGGAGGCACATGAGAGGAGGGGGAACTTTCCATCTCTGGCCACAGTATATCTCGGTATAATGTATCCAACAGCTCCCCCTGACAGAAGTTGTTCACTGAAAATAAGTACATAAATTTACTAAGCAAACAGAATGAAAATGTATACTAAAATGGGTCCTACTGGGGAAGTTCATCATAGGAAGATAGAGCTGAAGATGGAAGAGAATTTACAGACCATGGAGTACATGGCCTCCTCATTTTACAGATGAGGAAACTGAGGCGTGGAGAAGTGAACGTGTCCTGCCCAAAGTCACAGAGGTGATACCTACAACGGCAGGAGAGGGATTTAAGTCTTCCTTTGACCCAGGACTCATTCTCTATAATATTTGGTTTAATCAGATACTTGCATCCTTAAGAGCTTAGTTTTAATATTTTTTCCTGGCAGTTTTTTTTAATATTTTATTTTTCCCCAATTACATGTAAAAACAATCTTTAATTTTAATAACTTTTAATGTCACATACACCACACTCAGAGAGAAAAGACAAAAACACAGAAGGTAGGAAAAGAGGGCTCAAGTTTAAGAGAGAGAGAGAAATACACATAGAAATATAGAACATGGGGAAGAGAAGAAGAAAATAGCTCAGGGAAGCTAGGACAGAACAATAGATACCTTTCCTGGGGTCCTAGTGGACTCCAGAAATAATTCTTTTTTTTTTAAAAGGCAATTGGGGTTAAGTGACTTGCCCAGGGTCACACAGCTAGTAAGTGACGAGTGCTTGGTCTGAGGCCGGATTTGAACTCAGGTCTTCCTGACTTCCGGGCCGGTGCTCTATCCACTGCACCACCTAGCTGCCCCCAGAAATAATTCTAAATAATTCTTGCTAGAGCATATTCAATCTCCCAGGTTAGAGGGAAGAACAAAGTTGTTTTTGAGCCTCTAGGCCAATAGAAAGAATGACCAAGAGACAGAAAAAGAGGCAGAGCTGTAGGGTGGCTAAGCGTCCTTGGAATTCCTCTCCAAGCTAGAGACAGAAAGGGATGAAGTGGGGAAGTGCGGCAAATCACCTTTTTCAAAACAAGAAGCAGCAGCCAAAGAGAGAAGGGGGGACCTCCCCCATTATTAGGACATATTTTTTAAAACTGCAGGATACATGAGCTCCCTGCCACCCCTAACTTTCCCAAGGTAGAGGTAGCTCTATATACATAACTGTTCCTTGTTCTACTATGTCTCTATTTCAGTCTGTCTGGCCTTGCAAACATTCATTTCATCTTTACACAGAAAAAAAAAAAACAATTAGAAAGCTGCACAAAAGATCAGCATGGAGCACTTAGCTGTCTTCTTCAAGGGTCAGGCTAATTTACTGTGGAAGAAGCAGGGGATCTCTGTAGGGACCTTCTGTAGAGTAAAGTGCTCAGTTAAGTGTGGGTCGGGGAAATACAGACTAAACAGGCATAGGCTTTGGGCTTTCTGGGTTTTTTGTTTTTGTTTTTGTTTTTGTTTTTTTGCAGGGGTGGGGAGAGAAATGGAAATAAGTTTCTTTTATTCTATTTAAGTCATGAGTAAAATTTTTTCCAAAATTATCAATATGCTATTGTATTCTCATTTTACAGATGAGGAAACTGAGGCAGGTGGTGGTTAAGTAGCTTGCTCAGGTGCTCTCTCTCCCTCTCTGTCTCTCTGTCTCTGTGTCTGTCTCTCTCCCTCCCTTCTTCTCTCTCTCTCTCTCCTATCTCTCTCTCTCTCTCTCTTTCTCTCTCTCTCTCTCTCTCTCTCTCTCACACACACACACACACACACACACACACACACACATACACACAGAGTTATTAATAAGTATCAATGGCTAGCTCAGGTCTTCCTGAACCCAGATCCAGCTCTCTCTTCACTGAGCTACCTAGGCCTGACTCAATACTCAGAAACACCTCACAGAATGATCACTATGGCTTTCACAAATATTCTAGTAAACAACCTACTAATGCCATTCAACCTCCCACCCCAAGATACATAAACTGTCTGCAAGGCTGACATCAATATCAAATGGCAGGATGTAATTTTATTGGACTAAATGACATAGCCACTTGAATTTCAATTATAAATAAAATCATCAAATGTGCCACGGTATCATTCCATAACTGGGATATAGCTCAGAGGAGCCCGTGGTAATCTTTAGATTCTGTATTTCGGTCTTTCAGGGTATATGTAGGAAATTTAGAAACCTCATTGTTGTTTATCTTCCATTCCTAAAAAGGACCAAGGACATCACGAGGATATGACTTGCTCTTGAATTGGATTTAAGTGAGGCAGAGCTGCACAAAGTCATCAGCCTCAGTTTCTCTTCCAGAGTCAGTAAAGTCCAGTGGTAAGACAAAAATCAAGACAACTGGTGATGGCATAGGATGCAGTGGGTGACCTTGGCCTTTCTTAATTAAGGTCTTTCCCAGGCCTCAGTTTGTCTGAAGCAATGCCCATTCAATGACTAAGAATTGAGACAAAATTTATCATCACAAAATTATCATTCTGGGAGGGGAAGAATCTCAAAATTTCTGGACAGGGCAAAAAACAACTGCTCCAGACTGGCAGACATGTCTAGCAGATGGACCATTCTGGTTTCCTTTGTCTGCCATTATCTATAAGGTAGTTGGACAGAGGGTTTGATTTGGAGCAATGGAGACCTGAGCTCCAAACTTATTTCAGACACTAAAAGGCTAATTGATTTCACTGTCTCATTCCCTAGAATGATTTCTCTAAACCTTTTTCCTTTCTCTTCAAACCTCCTATGGTTCCCTTCCAGTTGAGAACCTGGGTAGTACTTGACTAAGAAAATTGAGGCCCTTTCTCTAGAGGACCCTCTTGGAATCTCTTCCACATCTCACATCACAAATGCCTTTGCCTACTATTTCCTCTTTCCCCTTGCCAAGGCAAATACTTCTACATGTACAAATGACCTCATTCCATCTCATCATCTCCAGTAGATTGACCTTGCTATCATCTTCACTGTCTCCCTAATCTTTAATCTCTGTGTCTACTGGCTGCTTTGCTACCACCTTCAGACACATGCATGTCTTCCCTATCCTAGAAAAAAAAAAACAACTTTTCTTCATCTATCTATTCCCCCCTAATTATTGTCCTATACTCTCCTCCATTTTTTAGCTAAACTCCTTGAGAAGGCCATCTACAATTGGTGTTTACACTCCCTCTCTTCACTCTCTTCTTAATTCTCTGAAGTCTAGTTTCTAACATCATGAAACTGCTCTCTCCAAAGTTATCAGTGATCTCTTAACTGCCAAATCCAATGGCCTTTTCTCAGGTCTCATCTTTCTAGACCTCTCAGTAGCCTTTGACACTATGGATCACCCATTTCTCCTTGGTACCCTCTTTTCTGTAGGTTTTGGTAAAACCCCTGTCTCCTGGTTTTCCTCCTACCTATCTCATCCATCCTTCTCAGTCTCCTTTGCTGGATCCTCATCCAGGTTACACTTGAAAACTATAGAGGACTTCCAAGGATCTGTCCTGAGCCCTCTTCTCTTTTCTCTCTATACTATTTCCCTTGGTGATGTCATCAGCTCCCATAGATTCAATTATCATCTCTATGCTGATGACTCTTAGATCTACCTAACCAACTCTAACGTCAAATAAAGATCTAAAGACAAAAATGAAACAGTCCCAAC